CTCAGCTGAAACCAGGCCAGAGGCAAAGCACGCCCAAGGTAATAAATTTAACACTACCTGAAATACACGGCGGATGAATTGCTTGGAGTTAAAGCTGATTACTAAGATCATTGGCATCTGACTTTGAACAAGGAGCTCACAGAGGTGTAACAGGGGAGCAGGTAAGGGCAACAGACTGTTTTGTGAACTAGAGAAGTCAGCCTTAGATGTTTTCCTTTGCAGACTTGGAGTCTGTCAAGTATAAACTTACTATGTCAGGTAAAAGGGAGTTTCCTTGCAAATCCAGAGCCACACATAAAAGGCTTCTGACAGGAGGCATCTCCACAAGCAGGAAACCCATAGGCCTCCCAGATCTACACTGCATTTTAATGCATCCTCCTGCAGCTCTCAGGTAGCCAACAAAATGAGGAGGGTCCCCTCCTCCCCTTCCTTATAGGGTGCAATGTAGATGGGGAATACCCTTGATTTTGTGCAGGAAAGGAATCGCCTAACTGTTGCAGCCCACCTTTTTGGTCATGGTGTTCAGATTTCTTTAGCAGTATGCAGAAAGACTTTGCAAGGAGGACATGTGCAGCTTACAAGTATCAAGCAATTATTGATTGGTTAGCAAGAAAAAATATTGCTAGGGTTTAATGAGCAATTTGGACAATCTTCATGGTCAACATCCCTAGAAGACACCTGAGGAATCACTGGTGGCCAGGAAGGCATTAGTCAGATGAGGAAAGTCTAGCCTCTCAGGATCCCTGGGACACAGCCTCTGTATTGCTGGGTTGCTTTCATTTTCCAGGTCAGTTGACACAGATAGCTCTGATGACCCCACCAATTAGCAGCTCTGGGGTTTTTTTTCACTTTAAGAATTTTTACCTTTCCAAGGTGGTGTTTATCCTTTTGAATACTTCAGCATCTAAAAATGTGTCTCAACAAGTTTAGTGCTGTGTGAGATTTTTCTTATTTTTCTGCAGACTTTCTTGCAATTGCTTTAACAATTGCAACCAAGGGGACAAAGGGAGTTGCAGGTGAACAGGGCCTCTGGAGCCAAGTTGTGGTTTGCAGAGGGGCACATATTTTCTGCCACAATTTGGGGAGCAGCAGAAAGGTGAAAGGGAAATGTATGAACAGCATAACACAGAATCGTAGAATCATAGAATCGTTTAGGTTGTAAAAGACCTTTAAGATCATCCAGTCCAACCATTAACCTAACATTACCAAGTCCACCACTAAACCAATTAAGGGTAGAGTAGCAATTTCGTGTTTCCTTGCTTGGTGGCTGGATTATTCATAATGAAAGTAAAATGTAGGAATCATTAAGATTGGATAGGATCTCTAAGATCATCAGTCCAACCATCAACCCAACACCACCATGTCCACTAAACCATGTCCCAAAGTGCCACATCTACCTGTTTTTTGAACACTTCCAGGGATGGTGACTCCACCACCTCTCTGGGCAGCCCATTCCAATGCTTCACTACCCTTCCTGTGAAGAAGTATTTCCTAATATCCAATCTAAACCTCCCCTGATGCAGCTTGAGCCCATTTCCTCTCATCCTATTGCTAACTACTTGGGAGGAGAGACCAACAGCCACCTCACTACAACCTCCTTTCAGGTAGTTGTAGAGAGCGATAAGGTCACCCCTCAGCCTCCTCTTCTCTAGGCTAAACAGTCCCAGCTCCCTCAGCCGCTCCTCATAAGACCTGTGCTCCAGACCCTTCACCAGCTTCCTTGCCCTTCTCTGGACACACTCCAGCACTTTGGTGTCCTTCTTGTATTGAGGGGCCTGAAACTGGACACGGTATTCCAGGTGCGGCCTCACCAGTGCCGAGGACAGGGGGACAATCACCTCCCTGCTCCTGCTGGCCACACTATTCCTGATACAAGCCAGGATGCTGTTGGCCTTCTTGGCCACCTGGGCACACTGCTGGCTCATGTTCAGC